AAGTCTTTAAAGCGGTTCACTCACATGGGGAACCTTTGACCTTGTACTAAACCTTCCAGAATCTTCTGTATCCCATTTTTACAGCTGACCTGGTATCGCTATGGCCGAGACCAACACTGGTGGTCAGGGCGTACCATTAAACCGCTATGCCCTTGTAGAGTTCACCCCAACCCTAGTACTGACTTCACAATATATCTTTACTACTTTGGTATTCAATTCAAGTTCTACTAAGCTGCCATTCCAGATAGCCCGGAAAGGTAGATCGAAACCATACACCTCTAGTTCACATGTTTGCAAGCATGTGCCCTTTTCCTCCGGAACCGGAAATTCTGGCAGCCTGGTTGGTTCATCTGGTCACTCTTCAAAGATCAGCAAATTTGCCTGGTTTCACAAGTTCTAGCTCCATTTCATAAGTCTAGTCTTTACAGTAGCACCGTCGAAGGTTCGGGTTACCTCTTTACTCGGGTCTTCCTAGTGGGCTTCCATCTTTCTACCTGGTTCCTTTGATTTACACAGCCTAAGGACTTATCTTGGGTTCACACCGCCTGGTACCAGTTTGTGTTCCCTCATACAATGTTGTATGAGTGCCTTAGACCTTCCAGTCAGGCTGGTATGACACAGGTTACAGGTATCCTATCCCAACCAATCACAGAAGACAGTTAGTCGTAATACAGAAAGAATTGCAAATTTTTGCCATCACTGGGATTTGAACTCTAGATCTGCCACTTGGAGGTTGACAACCTATCCACTTCACTAGGTCACCACACCCCACATTAAAATTTTACTATAATAAATAAATAATTTTATTTATAATATTATAAATTTTTTTTATTAATTAATTAAAAAATAAAAAAGTTTTATTAATAGTATATATCAATTTTAAATGGAAATTATAATATACTATGCATAACTATATAAAAATGATCTATATGCCTTCTATCCTTAAATAAAAAATTCAAAACAGATCTAAATATAATAACTAGTATAGAATTTTTAAGTAGATTACTTAAATTAATAATAACTAAAGTTATACAAATATCTAGTTATATATTCATCTTATAATGTTACAGAGTTGCAGGCTTTTTGATACAATACAACCAGTGTTGTCACAATTTTTCTATTGGTTCAATAAATCTATATTTTATTTTATTGTTTTATTGTTTTATTAACTATTTTTGCTAATAGAATATACTAAATACCAACTTATCAAGTTATTCTAATTTAGACCAATCAGATATCAGTTTTTTTTATAAAACATTATTTTGAATAAATATGATAAACTCAAGTTTATTAGGTTACAATTTATATAATACACTCTTTATATATATTTGTGAAACTTTTAATGTTTTTATATAATTAATATTTTTTGAACCCTCTTTAGCAAGATACTATTTGCATTAGTTAGATTAAAATTTAATTATTTAAAGTTTTAAAATTATAATGTCTAGATGTTTTGCACAAAGATAGCTTACTAATATACAAGTTTATATAAAAATTTTTATAATATTGCTCTTAGTTTATATTATGTCTTTATCTAATGTTTTTTTTGCTTTTTTTTCTAAAAAAATATATGTATAATAATAAGATGTGATATCATTTTAATAGCAAAAGATTCTTTTAATAAATAAATTCTGTATATCTTCATGCTCTTTATCTCTTTTTGTTTTTTTCAATTTCATGCTTTGCATCTTGCCTTTTCATCCAAATCATCTGTTTTATTAATTTTATTAACACTATTTTTTTTATAAGCTACAAGTTTCATAGTTTAATAAAAACTGTATATTAAAAGATATTTATCAGTCTTTGTGATTCTTTCTGAATTATTTTAGCAATTATTAAACATGACTCTTTTTTCTTCTCATCTAGTTTTAGTAATCTCTTAGCTTCTAATTTTTTTAATCTTTCATTTTCTAGTATTGTTTTTCTATATGCTCTAAAAAATATTAACAATTAGTTCTAAGTAATTTCTAATTCATACTGTTGCCTAAATTATAGCACATACTTTGAAATAAATACAGGTTTCAATAATTTCTTCAATGCATGTTCTGAATTAGTTACATACTTCATACTCCAGTATGTTTTCAATTTCACTTTTCTGTATATTACAATATATTAAAATATGTTCAATGATTTGAATGACTATATAAATGCTATCAAGAAAAAACATCATCAGGCTTTTAATTATATTTTGTATAAACATATTCTCTAATAAATTAAATAGATTGTGTCTAATACAAAATATAATTAAAAGTCTAGTGACAGGTTTTCCCTTGGCACCAATATGAAATTAATTTATAAAAATATAATGATATGATGAATACTTGCCTCTTTGTTTAAGTGGCCTGAGTTTTTTCTGATTCTTTTATGGTTTTTAATCATTCTTTTTGTTTTCATTTTACTGATATATTATCTCTTAAATATTGCTAACAAAGTGCTAAATCATCATCTTTATTCTTTACTTTTATTTCAATATCTTGATTTTTTTCTTCAAAATGTATTTGTTTTCTATCAATTACTTTAAAACAACCAGTTTTCTTTGTTTTTTTTTAATCTTTTTAGCCTGCAGTTTAAAGCTTCTTTTTTTATTATATCTATCTTTTAATACTAGTTAACTTAAATTCTTTCTCTTTTGAATTGCTTCTCCTTGTATAGAACTTTTTTAAGTCAATATTGCAAATTTTTGATACAGCTTTGCCTTTCGAATTTATGCTTCCACATGCTGCTATTTATTTTTTACAAAACTTTAATTAATAACTTTAAATATAAATATTAATCATAAATCCAAATATATGTATACAAAAAAGTTAATGAACCCTTTATACTAATTATTCATATACAAAATCTGTAGAAAAATATTATAGAAGTTTACTAAAAACAACTGTCTAAACTAACTCTATAGGTCTAGAAAAAAAGATAAAGTTTGCAAAAAAATTATAACAAGAGCAAAAAGAAGAAAACTAAATAGCTTAATAAAGCAACAAAGAAAAAAACATCTCAGCCAACACTTTGAAAAGTAAAATTTTGGAAAACTTTCTGTAACCTAAAATGTAGATCTGTAAATTACAACAATATATAAATAAACAACAAAACAAACATATATATCAATAGACATACAAACAAGTCCAATTTGAATTGTGATAAACAAAAGCATAGAAAGTTCTAAAACAACAAGCAACAAACAAAAATTACAAAAAATTAGGCTAAATATGAACAGTACACAAAATTAGAAAGAAAGTCTAATGTTAATTTATATCAAAAAAGCATACTATGCAACAATTAACATGCACAATAAAGTGTTTTTTAACCAAGCAAGCAATATATATATGATACCAGATAGAGAAAATAAAGTTGTGGCTATGCTAACAGAACAAAACCTAGTAGAAGTAGTGTTGCTACATATAACCAGAAAAATAATCAAGAAGGCAAAAGAAGAACAACCAAAAAAAAAATTTAATATTACTAAATAAAACAAAAATATCACAATAATAAAACCTATAATAGAGCAAATGCAAGACAAAAGAAAAAAGGTACAATAATAGTTAATTGAAATACATAACAGTCAAAAAAAACCACATGAAATAGAGCAAAAGAAAGAGATGAGAATTGAAAAGGTGGTTGAAAAGAAAATGCAAGACAAGACTGAAAGCTCACAAAAAGAAATAAGTATAAAGATAAGTCAAACAAGTATTAACCAAAAAAGTGAAAATCTGCCTATACAAAAAAAAAAATAAAGAAAAACAAAGAAAAGAATGAAATTAAGAAGATACTTAAATAGAAATTGAAAGAAAAATTGACATAGTTAAAGAACTTTTAGAAGAAAGCATATAGGCTTCAAGAAAGAGAAACTGTAACCAGAATAATAGTCTTCTTGCCAACATATTAGCATACAATATGTCTGAGAAAACAAAAGAAAAGTGTATGAAGTTTATCAAATAGTCATTAAGAAACAATATACATGTCAAAGATATTAAAGAAATCTTCAAAATGAGAAACTTATAGATAGAAGTAGACTTTAACTACAAATATGACAAAAATAAAACAATACAAAAAATCAGCAAAAAAAAGAATAACTAGTATAAAATGATACCAGAAAAGAAAAAGAAAGGTAGTGTAAAGAAACAAATACAATATAATAAAAGATATCAGAAAGAAAGAAATAGTGAAGCAAAAACTAAAGAAAAAGAACTTGAGTAAAAGAAGAATAAAACCAAGACAAATGAAAACCAATACATAATAAGTAAAGAATTAGAAAACACAAACTATCTAACAATTTGGGACTTGTCAACAAATATAAGCAAAAAAGAATTAGAATATATCTGCAGAAGATTTAGAAAAGCTTACATAATAAGAATCAAAAAGTCAAAGTATAAGGCCTTAGCAATAGTACAAATAGAAAAAATATATAAAGACATACCATGGGCTATACCAGTAAACAATAACAAACTAGTATGAGTAACTAAAGAAATAGAGGACCATGAAGCAAGAAAATGACAAAGAAGATATACAACAAAACTGGCAGAATTACCAGAAAGCATTTCAAAAATCCTATTATTATAGAGTTTGAAAAACAAAGGTATTAAATTAGTTTATATATCTTCAAATAGAAATAGAAATTAAAAAAGAACTGCAACAGTCATGTTTGCAACAGAAAAAGATATGAAATCAGTCTAATTAAAACTGTTTATGTTTAACAATTCTCAACTTCACTAGATAAAAAAAAAATTAGAAAAAACAAGATGAAAAGAAAGCTTTAAACAAGAAAGAGGAAGAAGCTAGAAAAGGTTTAGTTAAGCCTTTGATGTTGAAGGAAACATCAACAGAAAAGAAAAACAAGAACATAGGTCAAACATAAACAAAAGAAGAAGAGAACAAAATTTAAAGTAGAAGATCAGATAACAACAAGCAAAAGCTATACACAAGATCAAGCTACAGAAAATGAAGCAAGACATATAAACTCATTTAAAGAAAAGACAGACCTCATAGAAGAAAAATAGCTAAAACTATGCCTCAAGTACAAGAAGAAATTTTATATATAAGTAACATCCTAAGTCAAATTTTAGAAAGACATAAAAAATTAGAAGGTATAAGAGGTACAACAAAGAAAAGTCTGGCCTATTACTTCTGAGCATGACCCAGTTAAACTAATAAATATATATTAGGAGATTGAAGAGTCTTTGTATAGAAAAAGAAAAAACTTTAAAAGAAGCAACATGGAAACATCTTCTGGTTATAAAAAAGAAACAAAAAAAAAAGAAAAAGAAAAGAAAGTAGACATAAGAACACAATATAAATATCTGAAAGAAAAATGAAAACAAGGAAAGAAAGAAATCAAAATTGCATGTTACAACATTAACAGACTTAAAACCAGAGTTTAAAAGTTAGAAAACCTTATAAAATAGGCAAGTAAAGAAGAATACACAATAGTAGAAATAACAGAAACAAATATTACAAAAAAGAAAAGAAAGTTTTTATTGTATAATTGCAGCACACAGTATAAGGGTTACTGGACTAGTGCAGCAACAGACAAAAAAAAAGGATCAGACATAGAAATATTAATAGATGGAGATAGGAAAAACATATAAAAATAGTCAAAAAAATCAGCAAATACTTGCTAGAGATGAGATTATATTTTAAACAACTAGAACTAGTAGTATTAGAAATATATATTCTACCAAATGACAAATTAATCAGTAAGAAAATTTAGCAAAAAATTATAGAGATAATAACAAACAAAAATAAATATACAGAAATAGTTATATTAAGTAACTTCAATCACACAGTAGATAATGTACTGAATAGACAATACTTACAAACATCAAGCTATAAAAAACTATTAATATTTAGCTGTCTCAAAAGACAGAATTTTGTAAACTTATTTAGAAATATGCATATAGCAAAAAAAAAGCATATTCATGATCAAATCAAGAGGCTGCAACAAGAATAGATTACATTTGGCTATCAAAAACATTTGCATCAGGCTTACAAAAAGTGAACATAAAAGAAGCAGAAGGTCTAACAAATAGCAATTACAAAATAATAACAACAAAGATATAAGTAGAATATGTAATTGCAAACTGCAGCAAAGCAAAAACCAAATATAAAAACCAAATAAGAACAATATATCTATATGATGAGGCAAAACAATATAGAAAAAAAGTTAGAAATAACATTTAATAAAACTAAACAGGCAATGATCAGAGGCCTGAATTGATGATATTAAAAGTTGGCAAAGAATAATTAGAGAGACATAAAAAGAAGAATAGAAACAGGCACAAAGAAAACAAATAGAAGAAAATATAAACAAAAAATGCAAAATGATTAAAACTAATTAAAGATGAATTATTTGCAGTCTACTAAACAGGCTATACAAGAAGATTGTTTTAGACAGATTTATAATGCAAGATAAGAAAGAAGTAGACCTAATATCAAAGCCAAATGCAGTTCTAAATAGTTTGGCAGTGCACTACACAAACCAATTTAGAAAATAAAAATCCAAACTAGAAGAAATAACAAAAGAATAAAAGAAATATATAAACTGAAGGAGTAGATCAATAAGGCCTGATATAAAAAATTAGAAAAAAAAATAGAAAAAAAAAAATGAGAAGATATACTCAGAGAACTCAAAGTAAATACAGCTTCAGGAATATTAGGCATAAGCTATATATTAATAAAACAAGCAGAAAAAAAATCATAAAAAATCTTTAGAGCATTCATAAATCTGATTATAAAAAGAAGAGATATACTAAAAAAGTGAAAAATAGTACAAATATATTCAATTCTGAAAGATGTAGATTGGGAATATTGTCTAAACAACATTAGACCAATAGCATTCATTGAAACCTTCAAAAAAGTTGTTACAAAAATAGTAACAAGAAGACTAGCCAGAGTAATTATGAAAAAAGACATACTCAAAAGTTCAAATTTTGCAGAACTTCTAAGCAACTCTACAGAGCAACCTATATATATACTAAATATGATAATGGAGAAAGCACAAGAGAAGAATAAAGAAGTTTGAATACTATTACAAGATATAAAAAAGGCATTTGATTCAGTCCTACTAGAAAGTCTAAAATAGGCATTAAAAAGAGTTAAAATAACACAAAAACCAAAAGAATATTTAAGCAATATCTTCTGTAAATGAATACTCAAAGTTATCACAGTCTACAGCTTAACAGAAAAGATAATAGCAGAAAATGAAATAGATCAAGAAGAGGTAATCTCATCACTAATTTGGCATTTCTTCTATGATCTATTATTAGAAAGAATACAAGAAGATAAATCATTAAGCTATATAGTAAAACAAAAAATAGTAGAAAGAGTACACAGTAACAACATCACAAGATATAAACAAGCAGCAATTACATATACAGACAACACAATATGAATTGCAACAAATGTTAAGAACTCTGAATATTGCAGAAGAGTTCTTCAAAATGAATGCTATTTTGAAATAAATGAATCCAAATTAAAGCTTATAATAATGAATACAAGAATTAAAAAAGAAAAAAAAAATTACCTTTGGTCATAGCAAAATAATAAAAGAATCCAAAAACAAAATTGTAAGATTACTGAGGATCTGGCTAAATAGCAAAATAAAAGAAGTGCTATTATATAAGAAAGCAAAAGGAATAGTTAGTCAAACAGTCAAAAATCTGAGATACAAAAAAATAACAATAGGCCAGATTGTATATATAAATAATGCAGTAATAATTTCTAAGCTAGGGTATCTCTTACAATTAACAAAGATGTCAGAAAGAATGATTAATAAAATACATCAACCATTAATATGTTTGGCTAAACATAAATGCAATATAATGAAAACATCAAGCAATTGCAAATCACTAAGTCAAGAAATAACAATCAAGCAAATTAGTAGTATCTTCTTAAGACTTAACAGACAAGATAGTCTAGATAAATTAACAAACTTAGAATAGCTCAAGAATGCCAAAAAGCAGGCTTAACAAAAGATATTTGGCATATTGAAAATAAACTAGAAGCCAAAAAATTTTAGAATAATCATCTAATATATCGAACAATAGCTAAAACAAAAGAAATAGAAATAAACATCAAAGCAGCAAAATAGTTATAGAAAGTATACAGATATGATAAACAAATAAAAAACATGCTAGAAATAAAAATATAGACAGCAAGTAGTGGCACAATAAATGAATAGAGATTATTATATATGAATTAGCTAATAGATACAAAAGATAACAGCTTAATCACATAGAGACAGTTTAAGAGTCTTTAAGGTCTATCATGTAAGAAAAAGAAAGCCAAATAGTTTAGTAAAATAGAAAGAAAGATGCTAAAAACACAAGCAAGCAGAAAAATACAAAACCATTACAAAATAAACAGCTATAACATACAGGCATTAAAGATTAAGTAGACAAAGATATTAGAAGACCAAAAAAGAAAAGAATAGATTATACACAGACCAAAACACAATTAGCAATTCAGCAAAGTAATTAAGAAAAAGAAAAAAAATGTTAGCAGAGCATTGGCTAATGTATAAAAAAGAAGAAAAAACATCTATAGAAATAAGTTTATATAAAAATTGTGAAAATAAATTAAAACAGGCAACAGACAAGTATGAAAGATGAATAAGATGAGACTAAAACTTGAAAGTAGTTCAAAGTTACTAATAGAAAAAACAAACAAAAACAGAAGAATGAAAAAAAATGAAATAGAGCTACTAGAATTGAGACTAACAAAAGAATTAGAAATAGAACTAATTAAGAAACAAGGTTTAAATAGTATAATTACAAACTAGCTAACAAAAATTCTAATATGAAACAAGAGAAAAGACAAAGAAAAATACATTATTTATACTAATAGAGCATTATACAAAAAGAGAAAATAAAACAATATAGAAAGGATGGATATTGACTGGATACAAGTATATGATAAAGAAGACTGACCAGAGGAAAAAACTGTATTTGGACTTGAGAGTTGGCTATCAGCAACAATAGCAGAACTAGCAACAATACAGATATCAATTTTAACAATTTCAGAAAGAAAAAATATAAAAATATATACTGATAGCATTACAGCATTAAGAAATATTAATAGAGCAATTCAAAACATAAAAGATGAAAGTACTATAAAAAAAAAAAACACAATGTAGATAACAAACATTGTAGGTCTTATTAAAAGCAAAAACATAAAAACAGAAATAGTTAAAGTTAAAAGTCATAGTGAAGATAAGTAAAATGACATAGCAGACTCTTTTGCAAAAAAAAAGCAACTCATAGAAATATAATACATGCAGAAAAGATTATATATGATGGAATAAAGTACTATCTGGAGTAGAAAAATAAGAAAATTGACATACTAACAAGACTTTTGTATAAAATAAAAACAAATATTGAATTGGAGCTATTTGGAGAAAAACAAATCCAATAAAAGCATTAGAGCCAGAAATAGAAAATGCATTACATAATTAGACAAGTTTTTAGAAAGAAATAAATAGAACAAAATGAGTTACTGTATATCAAGGAAACTTAGTACAAGAAGATCTATAGCAGTTAAGTGCATAATAGAAAGACTGCCAATACTTGAAAAGTTAAACAAAAGAAGACTAGAAGTATATACAACTACAGAATGCCAGATATGCCAAGTTAAAGAGAAAGAAATGCAGGCATATCTAGCAAGTTGTAGTAAACAAAAAAGCTTATGAAAGTGAATTCAAAAAGTTGCAACAGCAACAGCATAAAATGAGAAAAGAAGAACAGAATTCTACTATGAGTCCTATATAAAATGCTATTTGGAAAATCAGAAGCTAAAAAAATCAAAAATAGTGAAGTGTTGATAAAGGGACTTATAAAGATAAAAGTAAAAAAGAAACTCAAATAACTCTTAAGCAAGCAGGCAATACAAAAGTGCATGAATATAGTAATAAAAATAGTATAAAACACCTTTTATGACCAAGTATAAAAAGTTCAATATAGAAAAACACAAGACTGAGAAAAGAAGACTAATATAATAAACAAGATGAAAAAAGATGTCTATACAAAAGAAAAAATGAATAAAAGAAAGAAAAAAAATAAATAAACAAAAGAAGAAAAAAAAATAAAAAATAAAGAAAATAAATCAAATGAAAAAAAAGCTTTAAAGACAATCAATATACTTATTACAAAAAAGAAAAGGCTCTTCTGGTATGGCTTTAGGTAGTTAGATAAGTAGTCTATCTCTAACTGAGATAGTGTGACAGATTGCACTTAGGTGCTATAAGAATGGCTGAGTAATGCTAAACTTAGATATTAGAAAATTTTATATAATTGTATATGTATATAGTTTCAAGAATCTTAATAAAATACTAATGTAATTGCTTAAGGTTAAAAAAAAAAATAAAAAATATAAAAAAAATTTATGTATATGTCATACCTCAATTGAAATCTGCCTAATATAGAAAAAATGCATAATCATGGAATCTTGTATGAGTAAATCTTTGCTTAACAGTTCTATAAATTGACTGATTTCTATAATAAAAAATTGCTTGTATTGTTTACACAAGTGTACTAAAAAATAAACTACTAAATGTTAACATTAGTTAATTTTATCTATTTAAACAGTCTGATTGTCAAGTCAAAATTTAGTAAAGCTACTCAAAAAACTATTGTGAATTTCAAAAAAAATGAGACTTGTAAAGCCATTTATCTACCTGAAATTTGAACCAAACTTTGCAAAGCTATTCTTAATTAAGAAATTGCTATAATAATATTATGAAATGCATAGTAGAAAATTAATAAAATTTTATATACCTGTTAAATACTAAATGTTAATGGTCTTATTATAATGGTTTACACTTTCATATTTAAATTTATGTTTTATTAAATTGTGTAAAATTATTAGAGGATATTGAATCTTGTAAGCAACTAATTCCAAAAAAGTTTTATACTTATTTATCCTAATGCAATTAGTAAATATTAATTTAATAATTTTAAAATGAAATAATTTTAAGAAAAAATTTTATACTCATATCAAGAAAGATAACCTTAATTTTTACTACAAAGTTAAATTAAAAAATTATTTGAAATAGAATACTAAACTAATCAATGATTACTTACAAATCAAATTTACTTGTTTATTTAATTTTTTTCATTTAGAACAAAACAACTAAGCTGAAAAAAAAGAACTATAAAGTTTTAAAACAAATTGCATCAATTGTCTTGAATTATTATTAGTTTTTTTATAGATAAAGGTGTTGAAAACTTAAAGTCAAATAAATTGGCAAGTATTCATTTTTCTGTGAAGTCTTCTGCAGGATGTTTCAAGCCTACTAATAATTTATTTAAAAATAAATTTACTGTTTTTTCTATTTTAAACAAACTTTTTAGTTCTTCTACACTTTTTTTTGAAAACAAAACTCTTAAACTATTTTTTAAAAACTGCTTTTCATTTATTACTAATATCTTTATTTGCATTTGATTCTGAATTATCTTCAATAATCATTTTAGTATTTTCATTATTAGCATTAGTTTCTAATTTTATAATACTAGAACTTTCTTGTTCATCATAATTTGTTTGTATATGTTCACAATTATTAGAACCAAATATAGTATTTATGTTTGCTAATATGCTTTGCTCTAGAGATTTTGCTGCTTTAATTGTGTATTTATAATTAATTTCAGCATGCATTTGTGTTATTGAAAAAACTTTATCAAGCTAAAGGTAAAAATTTTAGCATCAGTATATCGATATTAAAATATAATAATAATAATAATATAAATTTATTTACTAGTAATCTGGTGCATCATGAATTGTAAAAAAAGCTCATTGTCAAAAATAAACATTTATATAATGCAAAATTAATACAAATTAAGAATAAACAGATCACAAGCATGCCTAATTTTTTTGTAGCATCTGCAAAAAAATTTTATAATTCTGAATATTAGCAAAATTAAAAGCTGTTTTATCATCAAATAGATATTTCTTCAACTCTTTTTGCTGATTACCAAAACACAAAACCTGCAGAAACAAAAATCAAGACTAACAGGAAAACCACTGTCAAAACTGTGCTTGAAGACATA